GGACACCGTACAGTTGAGTGGTAATCATAAAATCAAGACAACAAACAACAACTATTGACATTAAATACTTTAAAATTGATCAGAGAAAGCTAATTTAAACAAGTAAGTTTTAAGACATGATTTAAAAGTAGGCAGACAGTCACTTTCTCGTATAGATTGTGGAAGAGAATTCCAGAGATTAGGAGCAACACAACTAAATGCCCTAGACCCCATAGTAGCTAAACAAACAGAAGGTGCAACAAGGGAAACAGATGAAGAAGATCTGAGAGTACGCTTCGGGATGTAAATATGAAGCAAATCAGAGAGATATGGTGGTGCAAAATTATGAAGAGCTTTAAAAGTGAGAAGTAGAATCTTGTACTCTACTCGATATTTAACAGGAAGCCAGTGAAGATGGTAGAGAACTGGAGTGATATGCTCGATGGAGGAGGTTCTAGTAATTATACGGGCAGCTGAATTTTGGACCAATTGAAGTTTGTAAGGTAGCCCAAAGAGGAGAGATTTACAATAATCAATGCGCGAGGTAACTAGAGCATGTAAAAGAATAGCTGTGGAATTTGGTTTGAGAAATGGACGAAGGCGGCTGATGTTCCTTGAATAGAGATACGCAGACTGAGTAATATTATTCACATGCTTTTCAAAAGATAAAGTACTATTGAGGACGACACCCAGACTTTTAACCTGAGCAGATGGGGAGATTATAGAGTTATCAACAGAAAGTGAAAAACTATTGGATTTTGACAAATTAGATTTGGTACCAAGAAGGAGAATCCACATGAAAAGTCGGCTAATCCACATTGTTGAATACAAACTCCAGGGTAACTCTGAGAAAATGGAACGTCGTCAAAAGCCACGTTAGGTAGCGTCAGGTTAATCAGTCAGGTGCAAATTAAGAATCACTGAGCTGCTGATTCTGTTTTTGGATAAAACAGTCCCATTGATCCCTTTAGTTAAAACTGAGTTGCTGATTTCCCTCTGTGAAAACAGAGCGTCATCAGAGGCCGTGTTTGGATGCGTCAGGTTAACCAGTCAGTAAAGATCACTGAGTTGCAGATTTCCTGAATTAGGTATAAACGATCCTTTGATCCTTCTAGTTAAAAACGACCAGAAAAGGCAACAGTAATCAAACATTTTAAATAAACAAGCAAACTAAAACTGTCGAGGAGCAGTGGCAGCAGTACGTGCAAGCGTTCACTCTGGAAGTGAACGCTTACTCATTACCTAAAATGAGTAATGTAATGGATCACGTTACTCACTACAATTTTTGTCGTGCAATTTGGAATCGGTAATGGACTACAATCTGTAAGTAACCTACCAGCCCTGCTGATGGATGTGTTTGTGGAAGAGTGAGTCTGTACTGCTAGACTAGACTGAAGCTGCCATGTGTTGCCACAAACGGAAATACTGTTACTGTTCAGCCAGTGGAGTATCTGGTCTTCTGCTTTGACCACTTCAGAGCAAAAATCATTGAAGTGTCAGATCGGTACCAAAGGACTGGTTCTTTTGACAGCACTAAACTGATACTTGCACTTTAATCTCTAATCACATTAGTCAGCAGGATGGTGTCAGATACTCATGTGACGGGAGAGGTGCGGATCATCTCAGTCTCTCAGTGTCAGTCTTACTTCGACATGAAGACCATCACGTCACGCATGCTTTGTGCTGGATACGAGGCGGGAACCATCGACTCGTGCATGGTGAGTGTGCGCTGCGCGTGTGTGCTCACGTGACATCATGAGTGTGTGTGTGTGTGATGAATCTGTGTGTGTTTACAGGGTGACAGCGGTGGTCCGCTGGTCTGTGAGGAGGACGACGGCCGCTGGTCTCTGTACGGTTTGACCTCCTGGGGGTCTGTGTGTTTCTCTAAGGTCCTGGGACCTGGCGTCTATGCCAATGTGACG